TTCCGCGCGCGTTGTTTGTTCGCGCCAAATATACCCTTTTCGGGTAGGTCCGGAAGGCCTCTCGCGGGACCATTTGTTGGGCAGGGACTCGCAGATGCCCCGAGAGGGCTCGAAAGGCTTCAGAGAATGATAGAAATGTATATTCTACAACTACACTAAGGGCTGTAAATCATTATAGTCTTGCCCTAGCTGTATGCCCAGCTAACCCCTCTCGATGGGTCTTTGCCGCACATTTGCCGATACCCGAAAAGGGTATATTTGGCGCGGACAAACAACGCGCGCGGAAATGCGATGTTCAGTTTCTTATGCAAGGCACTGTAAAAGCAGGAGACCACGAGCACAAGCCGAAATGAGGATCAAAAGGCACTAACAAGGTTCGAACCCACGATATATCATAATTCTGCTTCCATGAGACGAACGCGCAACCATTACACTACAAACTCAACGGAGGGACAGGTAACAATCCATATATGTCGCCCAACTACCCTTGCAGAAGCCGGTTATCACCAGCCCGCGCAGCACACGTGATATGCGTCCCATAATTTATTGGGAGGATTGCATTGAGTGATAATGCGACAGAGGTCCCAAGGCTGACGACAGTCGCACTATATTGATTCCCGCCGCTCCCACTCGGAAAAGGTTACAATGACAAATGCTGTATTGTATAAAGCATCAGTAGTTGTGCTCTCGGACGTTGCATAAACCTTGCCCGCATAGACGAGGAGAACGGGAAGAGGAATCGAGACGACGCGGTAATCTCTCTGCCATACATCCCCACAGCGATAGGTCTGTCGAGCATGAATAAGCGTACTCGGGAGTGGGCATGTCGCATTCCTACTGATTGACTTACAAGTAATGCATCACCGAGGAAATTATCGACGTTGACAGCAGATTGCAAATCAACGGGCCTACCTAGAAAAAAAGTAAGACAGGAATATTCGTGTCCCGACTCCCGTAAGGTCTCAGCAGGACCAAGGCTGGTCCGAAAGCAAGCCTGATTTCAACTTCAGCTCTGAAGTAGGACTGTATGACTCAAACAAAAGCCAAAATAACATTTTCAAATCCGAACCCGAAATTAATTGTGAACGCCATAGAGAGAATGCATAAGCCAGCTGAGGTCCATGGTTCTCAATGGCCATACGAGGAAGGCAAGGAAGCACCCGAACAAGACAATGTATATACCTGCACCTTGAGGCATCAGCATAATCGCAAGACGCAATGTACTTCACCATATAGGATGGCTTCGATAACAAACCCGACAAGATATGCCTTGTCCGCGAGATACATATGCCATTCTCATCTGAACTTGGCACTGGAACCATGATCTGCGCTGACCTTACGTATACAACCAAGGATTGACAGGCATTTGATCGATGAAATGCAGTGAAGTGCTTACAGGGGTACGGACACGGCTAAATATAGCCCATATATCTCGAAATTATATTATATCCGACATCGGGTCCCTCACACCTTCCTTGATTGTTCGGGGAACTCGGCGGACTTGCACCCCATCCAAACACTAGGGTATGATTTCCAGGACGGTCGCCTGATTGCAAATGGCGTGGAAATAGGGAAGACATACACTTGCCGCTTAGGCAACATAGTCCCTACAACCACTGCAGGCAGAAATTGGATGTCGTGATCAGTGCTGTTCCAGACGCTAGTGATGTACATGTCCAACTGAGCAATGAATGCGGCAAGATAACTTTACGGACTTACTCGCTTCGGCCATGGTATTTTGCATCTCCGAAACAGGATCACCGCTCAACACCTCAGCTCAAACCTCCGGGCCACTGACAGCGTCTTATCAGTCACATCTTGATGAGAAGTCTGATGCTGTGAGCATGGCATGTATGTGATAGTATATTGCTATCAAAGTGAGCTGCAACTTGAATACCTCTGTCCTGAGTCCTTCACCCATAAGCCATTGATCATGATAAAAGTCATATCGGCCCCGGACGCAGTACCTCCACTACCTGCATTCTGTGCGTATTTCTCAAGGGCACAGATGAATCGTACTTGATCGTCCCATATACAGCCCAAGCGGTGGTCTCGGAAGGTAAGGTCTATGCTTCAGGGAGTGTGGGATGCGACAAGGACTTCGTGTTGGTGCCAGGCGGGATTAAGCCTCAGACAGTCAGTGTATATCTGCATTGTCCATGGCTGATACTCTGATGCTGGCCCCTCTTCACTAGCGTGCAGCCCTTGAGAACCTTGGAAGGGTATTGAAAGCTGCTGGCTCGGGGTTGCAACATATCGTGAAAGCAAATTGCTACCTGAGCAATATGCAGAGGGACTACGTTGCGATGAACGAAGCCTATCTCGAGGTCAGTCAATTGATTGTCTTAACTGAAGATCCATTCTCTTTACCCACGATGAACATAAAGTTCTTCAAGGGCGATCCTCCGGCTCGTACTTGCGTGGGAGTTGTGGCTCTTCCATTGGGCGCAGACGTAGAAATCGAGTGCATAGCCGAAGTCCCTTGATAACCTACACCACGATAAAACATATACTGGAATAAAGCGGTCGAAAGTACCGAACCTGGTGATATTTAATCAGACTCAAGTCGTTCAACTGAACTCGCAAGGCAATGAACTATACTGGTTCCTGTCCAACTTGCAACTGTCATCACTGGCTGCACACGTACGACGTCAGGCCACGGACGCACAGATGGAATATATCGCAGCGATGAACAACATCTTCGAGCGGGACCCTGGCCGTATCGGGGACGTTACCGCTCGCAAGTGTGAATCAACGTTAGGCAGGCCATCTGCTTCCTGATTCAAAGCCATATCAGACAGCAGACGCGAGTGTAATCCTGTACGGCTTCGGGCGTGCGCATTGCCAGTTGTACGCGCTCATCTCGCACATACCGTGCTGAGCCGGAAATCTGATCAGACATATCAGTGCACCCATGCAGCAAAGATAGAATATTCGTTTCGACCTCCAAGAGCCCACGCATCCGCCTAGTCTGGGAGAGACAGACTTGTCTCGTCATTTCTACCCGTCAGCTTCGTGATTGTACAGGCACAATTCGACCTATCTGTGCTGGAAGTATGAAAGGGGCGACCACTCACAGGGCTCGAAGTGGCACAAACATCCGAATAGCCCAGAGATCGTCATGGTCTCGCTAGCTGTTGTCGCTGTAATACACACCATGACGAGCATGGCGGCGCCAGCCACGGTTCCTGGTACGTCGATGGCCTCAATGCAGACTACGAAGGGGGTCTTGGAAAACGAGAGCTGCAGACTAACCAGTTGGAGTCCAGTTCAGTCAGGGTGATCCTCGGGTTGGGACGTGCGTAGGAGTTGTGACTCTTTGTCTGGGAGCAGACGTAGAAATCGAGTGCATAGCCGGCGCGGAAGTGCCCGGAATTCCCTCATCTGTTGCATCCGTTTAGGAGGGTTGTCAGAGAGACCTACCGTGACGACATTTAACATATTCATCTAATAGGATCATCTGTGGACGCTCTTCGGCTTAATACCCTGACCATCAGCGTGAGCTTCAGTGCTGTTAATTTCCGAGTTCCGGCTGTGATTAAGATCACTGGGAAGCATACCTGCGACGTGATGCCCGGATCTCCGTCCAGACTGTATCTGTCTTGGCTGAGCTTTTGAACAACTTAAAGGCGAGTCGAAGTTGTTCCTCGGATTCTTCGGGTGGGTCACCGCGACGTGATCAGGCGAAAATAGGTGAGTTATAGCCATTCTGTCCCCTTCCGAATACAAATGTATATCGGATAGCGGTGGCGATTCGATGCGGCGTGCCATTCGAGCATACCCACGACCATTTCTACCGGGGTATGGACATATACACCTGACTTTGCTGAGGCCCCGAGTAGAAAGACGATCGCGGAGCTCGCGCAGCACTCCGGGGCAAAGAACAAGAGCCATTTCATCTAGCCACCGATTTTTCATAGACGGGCCAAGATGGGCAGAGTACTCACCTCCCAGTCTGCTTCGACGACGAACATCTTCACTATTCGCTCCGCTCTCTTATCTTCGTGTCACGACTTCACGAAGACCCCGTGTAGAAGACCATGAGTTTCCCTTCATTTCTAAAGGGGAGCATAAAAGCGGGAGACACTTACAAGATTTGGCCGTGTCGCAGTCATACGAGAAACCAAGAAATCAGCATGGTCTTGCCAGCGCTTATCCTTGTTATTGTCATAATAGCATTCATCATGACTTGCATGGTCTCGCTAGCTCTCCTCCTTGTTATCATCCTCGTAGCATGTGCACGCACCCCGACCGTTTGTGCTCAACCGGCCTCGTCCCCTTGTACGTCCAGAGCCCTGGGTGATAGATGAGACACGCGGTCAGAGCTAACGCGGTGTTACCAGTGACTATCCCGAAATGGGCGGCCGCGAGCTGTATGCGTGAAACTCATTGTACTCGCCAGCTTGGTATTGACAGATATCCAGTTGAACGGCCCTGCACAGAGGGAGCTCAGGGAGCAGAGAAAAGGGGTATGTTACCCGAGCATTTGTCGAGTTCGACTACTTAGAAGCACGCACGCATCACAGGAGTCAGGGTTTGATGAAACCTGTAGGTGAGCATGTGCCCGGCAGTATCGGCATATGGCTCACATTGCGTTATATAACGGTATCGCACAATGGCATCCAGACCGAGAATTGAAGCATCGCCTAGGCAAGAAAACACGAGAGAGGCAGTGTTCGGAGACGGTGACTGATTGGTTATGAATGTCGGAATTGAGCAGTGGTGGTTCCGTTGTATCGCGTTGTATAATAAAAACGACCCTATTTGACTTAAGAGGCACGGATATAATGAATCGTCGGCCATGGTTATTGACATGTACAACTGTGTGCATTAGTGTGGCCAGTGGATGTTCGCCATGTCGTGCTCCAGTATCCGAACTCCAGAATCGAGTAGCCTAGATTGCAAGGACCTAGTCACCAGTAGATGCTTCGACGTACATCGCCGAATGTCGTCCGCCAGATGAGTTTCTCTGAATCGGATTTTGCCAATTCCCAGACCCGCAGGACGCGTTTCGAAGGCATATGAGCGATATAAATACTGCTGTACGATCGTGTCCATGTTTTCTAACTTGAGTGCAATCGAGTAATAGAAGTGCAGGTGCAAAGCAGATCGTGGCAAAGCCACAAAAGCCACAACAAACGCGATCGGAGCGCACGAGGCGCCCTCTATCACATGCTTCTCGACCATCTTCCCCCGCGCAACCCGCACGTCGCTGGTTCACGCTGAACGTGTATATAACCAAGTAATGCCAGCAAAACCACCACAGGCAGACGAGGATGCGCTACACGCGTCGACACAAGTCGTACCTCATCTTCAGGAATTTCTGAGCACAGTGCCCACACCGCTCACCAATGTGCTCGTCGGCTTGTCACCATACGTCAAGCGTATTCGGCGGATACTAGAGATCGTTAGCTGGAGAAGTGGATGGGAGGAGAGCTGGCTTGCGCTGGCTGCGTGGTGGGCGGTATGTTTGACTGCTAGCATGACTTTACGGTATGTGGTGAACTACTATGACCTGAATCTCTCTTGGAAGTTTGCACTGGCTTGGACAGTGGCGGCTTTGTATGACACTCTTACCTCTTGAAACTGCTGCGAAGACTGCTTTCCAGATGTTGGAGGATACAGTGTGTCATATCAAGCTGCTAGTCTGGCGCCTTGCCAGTGACGTCCTCGCGTTCTTACGACTCCCTTCCAGATATTTAATGCCGATTCTGATCCTAATCGCGGTGTACTACTACCGCCGCCTGCCGCCCTCCCAGCCGCCAATGATAACAGAGCACCAGCTCCGCGAAACCATCGCCTCCCTCACCGTCATCAACGACCTCCTCCACCCACCTTCCACCTCCACCTCCACCTCATCACCATCCCCTCTCCCATCTCTTCGACCGCTCGCACGCACCCTACTGACCCTGTACCCCCTCTACCTCCTCACGACTTTCCTCATCCCCCTCCGCGTCCTGCTCGGCATCGCGGGGACCATCCTCCTCACCTGGCGCGCCCACTGGGCCGAAACGCTCCGGCGCACCCTGTGGCGGAGCGCGCACGTCCGCTGGGCATGCTACCGCGCCTACTCCCTCCTCTCCGGCGAACCCCTCCCTCCCCTCATCCTCCCCCCCGCTTCTCTCAAAGTCTACAGCACGAACGAGCAGAAGGAGAAGAAATCCGAGACCACCGCATCACTACGTTTCCTCTTCACGCTGTACGAGAACCAGCGCTGGTGGATCTCGCTCGACTGGACGTCCGCGCTGCTCCCCGCCGAGCGCCCCCCGTGGTCCTCCCCGCCGCCGCACTACCTTCCGCTCGCGCCGCCCAGCGCCTTCGCACTCCCGCCGGACACCGTCGTCTACCAGGACCTCGAGACGGGGAGAGAGAAGACGAGGCGGCGGGTGAAACGCACCGCGCGGTGGACCTGGGACGAGCCGGAGTGGAAAGTCGTCATACGTACGGAGGGGAGCGGGGCGTCGTCGCGGCAGGAGAGGGACCTCCCCGCCGAGGGCTTGTCCTCGGCGAATGCGAGTAGCGCGAGTAAGCTGTTGAAGGGCGTAGTGGGTGGACACAAGAGGGAGGGGAGCACGGGGAAGGAGAAGGCGGAAGCGGAGATTGAGCTGGCGGAGCAGCAGAAGCGGGTGAAGAGCGAGCTCGCGCAGGGTCAAGCAGAGCCGCACGAGCAAGAGCGCGATGACGAAGGAGATGACGAACAGGTCACAGACCCCGACGGGTGGGTGTACGGGGATAACAAATGGGAGAACGCGAGTGCCAAAGGCGGCATGGGAAAGGTAATATACCTGTATCTCTCGTTCTACACTAGCTGACAGGCCGCGGTATACTACAGTACACCCGCTACCGCCGATGGACGCGTATAGCCCTCCTCACCGAGACAGTTGAGCCGGTAGAGTCTGACACGAGCGAACCCGAGGACACCGGGCGGAAGTCCCTCAGTCTTCCGGAGGAGCACGTCGAGGACGTGACGAGGGTGAATGCCTCGCGTCGGGACACGGTGAACTTCCACGAGGAGAAGGAGGGGGAGGGGGAGGACCATGGGAGCTTGCGCCAGCGGCTCAAGGCCGCGGTGAGGCGTGGCTCTGTAGTGCACTGACGTTTTAGTCTAGGGATGGTAGTGCTTTATTTTTCTGGATGCTCCCAGTTGTCCCAAGTCATCTTTGCCCGATTGTTACACGACGTCTCTAAGTACGAGTCGCTAGCGATTCTTTTGATGACAAGGATTCCGCTGGCCCAGGATTCGCAAATCTTGACACACAGGTCAATGATAGCCTAGTTTCTGCTTGCGTGATAGCCCATCTATGTATATATTCGCTAGCGGCACGGAATATGTTCATCGCGACGCCAGGGATCTGTAGAGAACACGTCTGTGGCTGGGGGTCTTCTGGTTCTGACGTCATCAGGATGGGTAAGTTGAAGCAAAGCGAAGTGTGCAGCAGTCTCGATATGCGGGGCTACTGTTACCATATGCTTGCCCAGTATACTAGCATGCTGTCTCTTGGGACCCTCGCGGTGCGCCACCGCTGCATCGCAATACAAGAAAACGTCGTAATGATAATCCGAGAACTGAGAACTATACGTACTTGTACTCGCTCAGATACATGCACTTCTTGGGGTCGTGGAACTATAACTGGCCATCGCCGAGGCTGCAAGAAGCTTTTAGACCACCGGAGGGGATGGACCGCCGAATGCTAAGCAGGGTAGCTCGTGGCTTCTGGAAGGGTGTATAACTGAACACGCACCAGCGAGCTGGCGGATGAATCTGATCACGAAGATCGAAGGCCTTGTGATCTAGTAATAAGTAGAGACGATGTGACTAACATGACTTAGGCAGGGGAGCTCTTACCGGATAACTCGTCCTTTCCATAGTCGTATCCTCCGATGAACGCGGTCCTTTTGGATCTCGAAGAGAGCACCATGTAAGCAACGTTGCAAGGTGAGTCAGGCATTACACTGGCAGTGATGCCACGAGCCTGCAATACTTCAAACGCGCCTCCATAGATTGACTCATGGTTAAAGTTGATGCATATGGCGTAACCGTGGTGATACCTAGGACTTGACGCACCACGGAGGTGATCGAGCACCGACGTTCTTAACCCCACATTGCAGGGCTGACTCGTCTGAATTTGGGCTTCTGGAAACCCGAGAAGGGGTTTGAATATCACATGCAAACTAGAACGGCACGGTTAAGATATCGGGAAGGCCTAAATACCATTATCAGGAGGATCCACGCACCTATACGAGCACCTATATGTCAAGTTGGAATTTCTTGATCGGCCTAAAACCCCCAACAGTGCGAAATACGCGTGAGCTAGACAGTCCCGATGAGGGATTTCCAGCAAACCAAGCGGGAAAAGCTGCGAGCAGGCAGAATCGATATTATCAGACGTGCCTGGATACTATTGGAACAGCTTTAGAAAGCCGCCGACGGGATGGGTGAGTAATAGGGCGGCATTGCAGGAGCATTATTGCACATACTCAAGTTTCCTTCGCATCGCTATTATGGCCGCCGCAAAGGATAATGCCCGACAGTAATCGTGTACTACATGTCGGTCAGTAGGCGTGATGGGGCCTGTCGGGCTAGCAGAATCCCCGGCGGTACTAGTTTGGACAGCGGATATTCGGGCTTGACGGAGGGATTTTTCAGGATACAGGGGATGACGTCCGTTCAGCGAGATGATAAAAGTAAAATGCGAACACGCAGTCGAAAGTAAATGCCTTCCAGGCAAAATCGGCAGGCTGGTATGTTCTGGCAACACTCATGTATGATGCTCTATCCATAATTTCATCCGGGTTTTCCAGGTCAGCTTTGAGCAAAAGCCCCAAGCAAGCCCTAAAAGTGCAGCTAAGATGAGGTGGCAACGTCAGGTGGCGTTGATCAGGTGTTAGTGGACGTTGGTGATGGCGCGATCGAAGTCGCTGTCAAGTACGCCGTTAGCGCGTGTGGCTGTGCAGTCTTCTCCCATGGGCTGCTTCGCCGTGTCGGACACACTCGAGCACCGACGGCTTCTCTGATTGTGGCAACCTCCTCTTACACAACATATGAGCCACAGTGCCGCATCATGGCCATAATATTAATATACAGCCTTTGCAGAGCGGCGAAAGTGGATTACAGTGCTCAGGTACTTACTCCCAGGCTCGGTTCTGCCTAGAACGCCGGCGTCCAGGCTCGATTGCGTCTGGCTCGGAAACAGCGTTCATCCCTCGCAGCCAGCCCTTTCAAACAACATCACAACGCATCCCTCACCCGGTCCCGTCCTTGCGTGAATCTCGCGTCGTCCGACTTTACCCTGCGACAGTGACCCTCCGAGATCCGCATAGTATCATAATAGTCAATTCGAGCGGTGCTAGAACTGAACGCAGCGTGTCTCCTGCAAGGCCGCACGGGTGCTCCCGCTCTGCATCCCTGAACTCTCCGGCGGCTCGTGGATAAGAAGGCGTCTGCCCGGCGGTATACTCACTCTCATAGCTTAGCGTCGTCCCGTGTCCTGCTAGTACATACACTAGAAGCAGTTTGTGTTCTTGCCTACCGGCCGTCCCTCTTACCAAGTCGCAGCCTCCATACCAATAGGCAGGATGTTCTCGTGTATCATCTGCCTCGACACACTCAAGTCGCCAGTGGCGCTTCCTTGTGGTACGTTCTCCCCTCTTCCATTGTACTCTCCAATACTGAAGGGAGTATACGCCCGCGCAGGCCACGTATTCTGCTGCGCGTGCATCGAGCGCATAGTCACCACCATCAAGCCTTTCACAAGCCAGCACTGCTGCCCCTCCTGCCGGCGGCCCTACTCAATCTGTACGTTCTCTTTGCTCTCCTCACACGCTCTACTAATACACACCCAAATGCAGCAACCATCGACCCCTCCATGATCCCCTCCCACCTACACCAGCACATCTTCCCGCCTATCCGCAAACTCTACCTCGACCTCTCGCCCACCCTCCCGCGCCCCTCCACCTCCTCGCAGTCCCAAACACACCTAGCAGCCCCAACCGAAGGCGAAACAGCCAAAGCAGAGAACCTCGCGCTGCGCGCGCATGTCGAGATGTGGAAGCGCCGCGCGGAGGTGCACAGCGCGGCGAACCTCGGGCTCGTCAACCTCGCCAAGATGGCGCGCGATTACGCCGTCGGCGTCAAGCGCGAGCGGGACGCGCTGGAACGGGAGATGGCGGAGCTGCGGAGGCGGCTCGGCGGAAGTGCGAAGGAGAAGGAGAAGGAGGCCGAGGGTGATAGCGACTCCGCGTCCACCAGCCCCCCGCCCGCCACCCCGCCGCCACTGCCAGTGGCGGTAAAACACGAACAACCGGACATCCTCCTCCCGCCTGAGTCACTCCTCGCGACCGTCCCGCCGCTCGATATCCCCATCCCCCGCACCTCGGAATCCGCGCTGCCGACACCGAGTACTACGCCGACGTCCATCACTCCCGACGAGTCTGAGGAGCGGCCGAGAAAACGCTCGAGACGGTCCACGCCGGCGGAGGCGACGTGCGGGCCGCGGGTGCAGCATGTTAGGCGGTCAAGCCGGCATCAGCGGTGTACGCGGACGCCGCAGCTGCAGGTGTGCCAGTGACACTGTGCAGGTGCCCCCGCTGTTCCTCGTTCTTATTTTCTGCCGCGGATGCTGTACTTATCCCCCGTGTCGTCCCTCAATGTGCTTGTCTGCCCCAGATCTCTTTTGTTCCGTTCCGCCTGTGTCCTGCTCACGACACTCCTCCTCACTCAGCCTCTCAGTACCTATGTATTGGTTACAAGTTTTCGCGCTGTGCTCTCGGACGTACATATATGTATTCTAGATCAATATCCCCCAAGGAACAAAGACGTTCACGGCTACCCGAATACGTCTTCCAGTGCCCACTCCTTGTCCAAGATCTAGGTAATCTTCTGCAGCTCTTTCAGGAGTCGGGGCAGATCCGAGCGCCCGCGTCATCGATGTGACTATTGGGATACAGTGGAGGCGCTCGACGCGCGTAGTGAGGGCCGAACCGTATACCAACTGATCATCCGACCATCAGCTTTCCCGAAAAAGCATCAAGAACAAAGCAAAGAAAAACTGTGATAACCCACCAGTCTTTGTTGTCATATACCATCCTAGATTCAGTAGTTTGCCACCCTCCAGAGACAGTGTCGACGACAGAGAAACCACATCGGCTCCTTCCACTCCCCAAACAACAAATGGCTGATCTCGGCCATCTGCTCGTCCGACGGCGCTTCACCCAGATCCCAAGTGTCTCCGTAAGCCAGCATCTGCGCCGGACGGCCTTCGTCCCACACTTGCACGAGAGCGACCTCGTTTGTATGCTCGAGGATCTCGGAGACGCGATTAAAGACCCAGCGTATGGCAAGATACGCGCGCTCTCTTTCGATGTTGACGCTTTTGTCGCATCTCTTCTCGAAACACGCGGCAGGTGGTATTTTCTTTTTTTCTGGTGCTCGCGCCATGTTTGCTTCCAGGGCAAGCTCGATCGAATAGACGTACCCATAGCGCCACCGCGGTGGCACGTATGGGCTGCCCTCCTGAGGATAGATGGTAGGTGGAAGGGCCGGTAGAGGGGGTAAACTCGCAGCGAGTTTGATGCAATCGGACTGGGAGCGTAGTGAGTAATCTAGGGCAACAGCAGGAGCCCCGACCGACGTACCTGTAATGCAGGTACTAGAGGAAGGGCGTCCAAGGAGGTCGGGACGCGAAAAGACATGTTATAGGCACTAATCTGTTGCTTGGACATTTTCTCGATTACACTTTCGGTGGAAGAACGCGGGGCCAGACGAGTCGCCATCTTGGGAGTTGGATGAAGAAGCGCCCCTGTGTTCGCGTTGTAATAAAACGCGTGACAGTTCATTCCCAGGCCACGTGATGGCGCGTCTTGAAGTCTCTGTCAGTGTCACGCAGGCCAAGGTGCGACTTGCGGGCTTGCGTCAATAAGGATCAGTGTCTTCCCGGATGATATGCATACGTACACTTGGTATACAAGATGCTGGGTCTACTCGATGTCCCGCTGGTCATTCTCTTTGCTTTCACCTTGGTTTAGTGATTTCCCCACGAATCGGCGTCTCGAACGGCTCTTGTAAGGAGCTTCTCGGCGAGTCTGTCGCAACCTCCCTGTTGCATGGACATCCTCAAAAGTATTGAAGTACATCTTGAGCTTGAAGCTTGAAGCTCGAAGCCTTCAACTCGAACCCGGCGGTCGTACACATCTGTGACGTCACACCGATACAGGTCACCTTTGTAGGCGCTTGTAGGCGCGGCATAATTCGTCTCTCTGACCCCCGCCTTAGCCAATGCCAGGCCACACCGACCTTGAATTTCTCGACCGAACTCGCTACCGCATAGCGTCGATGCAATCGCCACAACTGGAGCTCGCCAGCCGCGCAAAGCTGTCGCTGGACATGATCCCAGACGCCAGCCCGGAACGCGCCTACCGCGGCTTTACGAACACCCTCCTGGCCGGCTTGGCTCGTTTCACCACCGACGAACCCGGTGCAACCAACGGCTTGCAGCCGAGCTTCCTCGAGGTCGGCCCGCAGCCGCCGCGTAGAGTTTGCGAAGACTTGTATGCCATCCCCCGCGACAAGCGTGAGTTCCCCTGGCTCTTGGCAGTCCGCTCTTCAGCTTGACGTTGAACAATTAGGATTGGATGCCGATGAAAGCCTGGTCACTCAGATCAGCGGCTCCGCTCATGAGTCGACCACGGACAGCCTGCAGTTAACCGCGGAGTTGTTTGCAAGCTACGAGTTCGCCTCCGTTGCGCAACTAGCGGTTGCTTTCTGGCCAGACTCGGAGCCCATCATGCCTTCCCTCGTTCCCAACCCCCCAGGGTCTCCCGACTCCCGTCAGCCAAAGGGACCACAGCGCAAGATCAAGACTGCTCCCCGCAGCCCGGATTTCCTGCTGTTCTTGAGACGGATGGCAGACACGGGCGACTGGTCCCAATTGCCCTATCTTGCCGTAGAAAACAGGCGCCGCGGAGACACTAGTGTCGAAAAGCTTCGCCTCCAAGTTGGGGAACAGGTCACGCTCATGTTCAAGGACTACTCCGAGCTGCAGACTTCAACCGTCTCTACCCTGTCGTTAGCTGGGGACCAGTGGTTCTGGCAAGATTGGGCATGGGATGCAGGGATGCAGGCGGGGATTGTGGTTCGTAAGCTTTCAGACGGTTTCAAGGAGCTGTTTGTGCTTGTCCAGGGAGAGGGTGGTGAGTATTATGATTTCACTCCCGAGTTCAAGGCGGAATGGCGCCGCTTTGCGCAGCGCCTGGGCATGCATTGTGATGCATTCTATTAGTATCCAAAGAGCATCTCACCCTGTACAGTCAGACATACATACAAGTGTACAAATGTATCATAGATCGACACGTCCCAAGGGCCGCGGGCCCAAAGAGCATTCAATGTAGTTCCTGGCACCCACTTGGTCACGATCACCAGGCCGAGTCCTCCACTGACGGTTACCCGTCCAGCGCCTTATCCAAGACCTCGATGATCTTCTCCACCTCCTCCAGGGTATTATAGTGCACGAGCGAGACCCGCACGACCGCGTCGTCGATGTCGATCTTGGGCTCGAGGCGCTCGACGAGGCCGTACGCGTAGCAGTGGCCGTAGCGTATCCCGACCTGCTCGTCCGCGTCCGAGTCAGCACAGAGTGCAGGAGCGGGCGTAATCACTGACCGTCCCCGTCTCGTCAAACACCCCCACGACGTCCTGGCTCCGCCTCCCCTGCACGACGAAGCTCACCGTCGGCACGCGCCGCTCGCCCGCGCCCACGCCCTCGCCCACGAGCCGCACCCCGCGCCTCCCCTGCGCCTCCGCCTCGAGCCAGCCCACGAGGCGGCGCACGAGCCCCGCCTCGTGCGCCTGGATGAGCGCGAACGACTCCGCGAGCGTGCGCGAGGGCGAGAGCGCGCGGAGGTACGCGGGCACGGCGGTGCATGCGTACGCGAGCTCGTACCCGGGCCCGCCCGGCTGGATCTTGTAGATGGGCGAGGTGGTGGTCGGGAGGAAGTGGTGCGCGAGGGAGGAGAGCGCGGGGAGGGCGCTGGGGGCGGCGTACAGAGCGGAGATGTGCGGGCCATAGACCTGGGATGCGCATGTTAGTGAATGCCGGCTGTGGGAGGGGGGGGAAGCGCGGGAGGGGGAAGCGCACCTTGTAGAGCGAGCACACGGCGTACTCGACGCCCCACTTGCTCACCTCCATGCGCCGGTGCGGCGCGTACGCGACGCAGTCGACGCACACCTCGACCTTGCGCGCGCGGAGCTCCTGCGCGCGTGCCTTCACGGCGTCGACGACGGCTTTGACGTCCACCGCGGAGCCGAGGAGGTTGGAGCACGCGGAGAGCGCGACGAGGCGCGTGTTGGGCGTGATGAGCGGGAGGAGCGCGTCGAGCTGCAGCGCAACAGCGTATGGGTTAGAATTTGCGGAGGAGGCGGGGGCGGGCGTGTGCGGCCAGAGGCGCAGGGAGGCGGAGGTGCGCGCAGCGAGGTGCTTCCAGGGCGTCGCGTTGGCTGCGGTACGGTCAGGCGGGCACAGGGGCACTGTGAGCGGGTGGCAACTCACTCTCGTGCTCGCCGGTGATGATGATCTCCTCGCCGGGACGCACGTCCTTCTCGAGTGCCCGCGCGAGGTTCTCGAGCAGCTGCGTCGAGCTCGGGCCGAGCACGACGTAGTCCTCCCCGTTGCCCTCTGCGCCAAACAGCTCCGCGACGGCGCGCTTGCCCTCGTTGACGCGCGCGGTCGCCTGCAGCGAGCGCGCGTAGCCCGCGCCGTGCTGGACGTTGGTGTGCAGGAGGTAGTCGGAGATGCGCTCGACGCACGCGCCGAGGACCTGCGAGCCGCCTGCGTTCTCGGCGAAGACGAAGCCGCTGGCGAGCGAGGGGAACTGGGCGCGGGCGGCGGCGACGTCGAGCGTTGGCGACATTATTCGCGATGTCGATGGCGGGCGATGGGACGAGGATCAATGCCTGGGTATATCGATCACCGTGCCGTGAGATAAGATAAGATGCCAATGGAGATCGGCCAGCCGCACAGCCACAGGCGCGCCCGGGCCCGTGAGCAACGACGCGTAACGCCGTTACGCGTCGCAGCGGCCGCTTGCCGCCGTCATGAAGCGCCCTCCTCGCTGTCGGGCACGGCGCCCAGAGTGCGTTCATCACCCGTCTCTACCACTACTATGCACGTCATCCTCACCGGCGCGACAGGCAACGTCGGCGCGCCCCTCCTGCGTTACTGCCTGGGCTCCCCCAAGGTCACCCAGCTGTCCATCCTCTCGCGCCGCGAGTTCGCGCTGCCCCAGGGCGACGGGCTCGACGCCAGCAAGGCACGCGTCATTGTGCACAGTGACTACGCGAGCTACCCCGGGGACCTCACGGATAAACTGCGCGGCGCGGAAGCGTGTATCTGGGCGCAGGGCGTCAGTCAGAACGACGTCTCGAAAGAGTGCGTGCTGCTTCTGCGCTGCCTGCTGTTTTCTCACCGATGGATGTATGCGTAGGGATTATATTCGTATTACATACGACTACCCCATAGCGGCGGCCAAGTCCTTCGCTTCCCTTTCCAATTCTGGCAAGTTCAACTTTGTCTACGTCTCCGGCGAAGGGTAAGCCTCCCCCCGCATTCTACCACAAGCCCTCACTCCCCCCCACCCCGGTCCAGCGCCGACCCAACCGAAAAGACCTACACCCTTTTCGGCAAAATCAAAGGCCGCGCCGAGCGCACCCTGCTCGGCCTCTCCCTGCCCAGCTTGAACGTCTACAACGTCCGCCCGGGGCTCGTCACCCCGCCGCACCCCGACCGCCCGCGCTCCGCCGCGAAGAAGGTGTTCATCGACGGGCTCATGCGGCCCCTGTTCGGCGCCGTCGCGCCGGGCCTCGTCACCCCCGTCGGCGAGCTAAGCAAGGTCCTCGTGGACCTCGCGACGGGCGATGGGAAGCCGCTGCCGGCTGGTGAGGGGATCGAGGCGGGGGGGCGGACGGTGAGGAGTAGTGCCATCAGGAGGCTCGGGAAGGAGTAGAGGTGAGGGGGAGTGAGTCGGTGGGGTCGGTGCGATTTGTTAGGCTTCTTCTGCTGTAATTTATTTCCAGAGTCTCGATGCCGATCGCTGACTGTTTAATGCACCATTCTCCCCCCCTTTGAGGGTAGGACCTCCTCTCCTCGATCGGCCCTGACGGGCAAGAGTACCGGTTTTTTGCTTCGTGTATGCGCTATGGGAACTACCAAAGCAGGCGCGTCTATCACTCATACGTCCAACCGGACCGAGCCCTTGCAGCCCTGTAGGACGGAGTGCCTAGCATCATCTCACGGGCAACACTTTTCTGCTTGCAGAATCCCGATCGCAGCGACGCAGCTGAATTGCGAGGTCCGAAGAATGAAACGATCCAGATTGTCCGTATAGCAGGTGTGCACATTGTTGCAGTCCAATGACTCTACTGGTCTGACGAAGTAAGTATGTCGAACTGGTGTGTCCTCTCCCCGCAAACGCAAAAATAGTTCGCTCGCGTGATCAGCACTCACCGACCGAGTTGGAGGAGACACTGCATTGTTCTGGCCAGCTCCAACGAGAGCCCACCGGTGCGATATATAGCATCTCAGGCGCACGAACCCACTATGGGGAAGGCGGTGTCCATCACGGCGAGCGACAGACGGCTCATGCGCCTACTAGCTGCCTTGCGCTTTGTCGGATTGTGATGGGGGCGCGAACGCGTCATCTCGTGAGCTTCTTTGGCTTACTTATTCCTGCTTTTGGGTTGAACGCTTGGATGGCCAGCTCGGTCTTACCAGAGACAGTCAGAGGTAGCGCGGTTCTGCTACATAATAAACCTCGTCCTTGGGTGCTATCAGATGAATAGCCAGGTGAGAACCATATCACAAGGCGGTATGTTTGGAATGTCGCACTGTCCGCCTTCTAGCACGCTTAGGGGTTATGGCCGTACAATCAAAGGATCATTTCAGGTGCGTCTGTGTGGATCAAGTGCCTGTGCAAGTTTGTGATCTTCTTCCAAGATATGCTAACACTGATTGCGTAGTTCTTATCCCAGACGCGGCTGTGTGTCAACATTTCTATCTGCGCAGCGATTGCCTCCGGTGCCGCACCGTCACGAGTTTAAATACTCCGAAACGCCTTATCTCCCAGGAGGAGGTATTGTCTGAATGAGGATCTATGGAGTACCATTGTCGACATATCCCCCTTCACACTATGGCACGCGCTGTTCGTGTTGGATATTCAAGGTTTCCAGCACGCCAATGGTTCCCCCGGGGGCTCTGACCTTGGGCACCCCGTCAAGCTGGGTACCTGGTGCGCTAATTTTGGAATGGCTCATCATGTCGAACAACTGACGTCCGTGGTCAGCAGAGTAGTCTTGACTTCCCGGTTCATCAACTGCCACCCATTTTTCCACTATCCTGCGGCGGAGTTACATCTGATGGGGCTGTTCGGTTCCCAGACGTCGGGCTGTTCTGCGTGCAGGCACGTATATAACCATCAAGACGGTCCGGGGATGAATCCATCGATAAACTCTGCTCCGATATGGACCTTACCCTCGGCGTATTGCTGGATGGTACCATAGTCTCCACTGCGTTCGTCGTTCCCTGCTCGCCTGAGGGTGTCGTATTGATCTTTTGCGTGAACAGACTCTACGGCCTTACGGTCGGACAAACTCTGAGATACTTTGTAACGTATGCCGATGACAAACCTGTGCTGAAGACCATGGTGCGTCCCTCGCGGTCCTAGCGGAATGGGATGTCGCATAGTTGATTGAACCTGCACCTAAAGGTCTCGGTAGCATTTCTGGTACTACCACTCAGCCCCAATACGCGCATCATTCAGCTGAATTCGCTGTCAGCTCGAGACCCTCCATCAGTTTCTAGTGGCGCATTGTCTGTGGTTTTATCTGGTCCGTAAAGGGGATGGAAAGTCAATCGCCGATATGGACATCTGGTATGGCGTCACATTCCTCCAGCAACTGCCGCTTACGATCGCACTGGCAGGAGCTGGACGGTAAAATCTTACGGGCTTATGCATTCATTTCGAGCCTCACCATTCCCCTGGACGTAGGGACTCTTGATTCCAGCGGTATGACCTGATAGTTCTCCCGGGCGGGCCGCACAGCTAATGAAGTGCCTCCCAGCAACTCGTTATATTCCTCGTGCAGTGGTGCGTAGCGCAGATATCTGGTGTGTTTCGAAGGAATGTTCATGTCTGGCAGTTTTTACATCTCAAGAGTTTGGGCCCGTGAGCTTCGCATTTATGACAATGTTAGAGCATCCCTAATGAAAATTGTTCCAGTTCAAGAGCGCAAGCATGCATCCGTACTTGTGAGTCCGCGCGTTTACCTTATATTTACAGATGGGTCGGTGACCAGTCCTTATTAGGCGCTCCTGTCTGCAGTGGAAATCTGTGAGATCACCGTTTGTCCTTCCTTTGAGTTGCAAAGCCCCTGCTCATACCCGGTACCGACAGTGGGTGGGATTGGTGAGTTGAAGTTGTCTATAGATGCTTGGTTGAGCATCTCCAGATGCATAGTGGCCAACCTCAGGCCTGGTCGTGACCAAGTAAGCAGCTATCATCCTACTCTGACCATGGCGACGCCTCTCACGTCGCGGAACAAGCTTCATGGCCCCTGTAGTATACGATGTAAATAATTACCACAGTGCAACGCTCACTGCCCAGAACGTGCGGTCTTCTCTCGAGTCTCAGACATATATTCTGACCAGGTTGATCCCAGATCTTCCTATTTATCAGTGGCTGCAGCAATTTTGTGACGGACCTTGGGATCGCGTTCAGTATGTGTCGCGCCCTTTACCGCAACCGATCGCTGTCTCTCGAGATATCAAGGTATGATTGTGCAAGACCCCTCGACTATACTGATTCACACCTGCTTTCTGTTGCTAGATCGGTCATAGACACGCTGGTCGCCTATGCGGTGGGGACGGGACTCCTTGTGACGTGAGATGACATTGTAGACGGTTGTTGGCCGGCTAGAACTGACAAAGCCTGGTTTTACCGCAGTGTTTTTACTATAATATTCTTCGTTGTGGTAAGCCTTCCAGTTGCAAGCAGAGGTGCGTGGCTAAAAGGCAGCAGTCCAGCACCCTTCCGACAACTCTGGTGTACATGGCGTTCTACCTCGTGGGAGTAAAAGGCGAGTGTGTTTTACGGATGGACGACTGCATGAGCTCAACGATTGCGGGACAGTATATCTGAATTCTATGCTCGCGTCGTGAGTACCCTGGCTACTCCTTGATCATCTCATAAGAGAGGGCTACTGACTTGTGTGGCAGGCTTAACAGCCGTACCTCGCTGAGAGAGCGCCTGGGAGATGCTGTACAGGAGATCTAGTAGGGCTATCCGTGGCCACATCATATCAGTAGGAATGCTGCAGTCACTATTTGGAATCAAGACGTCTGGCAGTCTTCGAACAGTTTCCTCATCTCAAGATATCCCCCACCAAAACCTCGTAGAAAGTAAGCATTACACAGCTATTACAGCGGAGTACATCCCATACATTGAGGATACACAGTACGAGAATGGTACACTAATAAATTAAGTGACACAGGCGAAAGGATACATGTGGGCGTCGGTTTGAGTTTCGTTCTAAGGTTTCCCGAGAGGCCGTTGCTGCAGTAGCACTTCGTGATGATGATCATGGATAGAAGAAGAATGTCCCGGTAGCAGAAGTTGAAACCTTTATGATCCCTCGTCAATATCATGATCTCACGCGAGCGCGTTCAAGAACTTACACGATATGTTCATTGAGATTCCCCGCACAGACCCCTTATTGCAGACCGAAAGCGAGTCAGACCAGAAATACTGCCGGGTTGGTGACCGAGCGCTGCCAACGCCTCCTCCCATCCCGACTCCAGCTGTATACGCGCCGGCGACTCCGAGAGCCTCTCCGAGCGCCTTGTGGGTATCGGGAGGAACTCGATGTGTTGACGGCTAAGGGGCGTAGGACGGATAGCGCGCCTCTTCGGCGCAGACTCCTCCTCTTCCTCAGTATCCTGTGATTCGGGCAGGGTCAGCGAGCGCTTGCGCTTGAGACTCTTGCTCTCGCTTAGTTGAGCACTGAGTCTGAGAAGGATAGGTGAGACATGGGTCAGAATAGCGTGTACGAATGCGCGTTACCTCCTAATCGACCCTTCCTGGCTGAGACGAAGCCGCTCGTGCGCATTTCGTTCCTCCGTGAGCATTGTGAGCAGGCTCTCAATGTGGTTGGACAGCCTCATCGCGACCTCCGCCCGCTTGGCGCGTTCCTCCTCGAGTGCCTTCCGGAGCTCTTCCTGCAAGCGCTCGCGAGCCTCCTTCATATCATTCTCTCGTCTCTCCTCAAGTATTCGGTATTTCCTTTCGAGGACGTTCTTCTTATGCCGCAGCTCGCTGATCTCGAGCCGTGCGCATCCCTGCGCCTGCTGGTGCTGAACCACAGCCATTTGGTAGGCCTGGCACTGCCCTTTGCATTTGACTTGCTCCTGTGCAGTCTTGGCAGTGTATTCGTCCAGCTGTTTCCTCAACTCCATCTTCTCCTTTGTGACCTGCGCCAGCCGTGCCTCAACATCGGTGATCTTCCTCTGGAGGTCCTCATCGGAGTGTTCGTCCAGATACACCCGCCTCACACTCGGTGAAACATACTTCTGATACCTTTTAGGTACGTGGGATTGGGGGTAGACTAGGACGATATCCGCATCATGCATCGGGACGCTGTCTGTGGCACGGAACAAGACAGGACTGCGTACCATAAAACTGAGCCCTACATGTCGGACAGTTAGACTTCCGAGCGCCATCCAATACGTCAATTGTGGCATTCAAGCAAGGTTCGCAATGTATATGTCCTGAACGTCGGCGATCCCACTCAGCGCTGCTAGACGCCTGTGGCACGAGGCGCTTGACTCACCGCATGGGCTGCATACTGGATCCTTAACACGTTCCAAGCAGATACTGCAGATAATGCTCGACATCGCAAAGGTCAGAAGAGGGGGATTAAGAGACGGTATATCGCAAGTGGTGGTGGTAAAGAACAAGAGAATACAAGGCAGTGGTCGCCACAAGCACGGCTTCATGCAGCCAAATTAGGTTATCAGACACGTGGGAACAATGAGACGCGGCTGTCACGCGATTGTCATTTGTGCACGTGCATTTGTAACTACGTGACTGTGGTAAGAGCTGTCACGGTCCTCGCGCGTCTCACCGCGTTTGCGACAGCTGCCTTGCCGGCAATTCTGGGACGGACAAACTATCGCGGACGTCGACGATCTTATATTCCGCGTCAAGTTATTCGTCTTGTTTGACACGCCGCACACTTATGCCCATAACGACTGAGACGCGGGAGTGGGCGGCGAGGATACCCCAAGATCTTAATCAAGCCGGCATTCACAGCAGCGTCGAGCGCGTCACTACTTTAGGAATGGAGATGGAACAGGTCGTGCGGTGTATCACAAGGGAGTCCGAGGATATCCAAGCTCGGGTACGTCGCTCACGCACGAATAGCACCGTTAAGGAGGCGATGAACTGTACCCTCATAGCAAGTTGCGAAGGAGATCCTCGGTTGCGTAGAGAGCTTCAAGGAACGCGTCATACCAGCCTTTGCTATCATCACCTCGTTGAAGGAAGAGCTCCAGCGCGCACGAGAGGAGAACCATCGGCTCGCGGGCGATTTAGGACAGGTGCAGCAGCTACGCGCCGAGCATATTCGGATGGCGACAAATATCAGGGAGAGCGAACAGATCATCGCAGCCCTGTCGAAAGCCATGGATGATGCCAAGACGGAGACGGAAACTCTGAGACACGAAAAGGGTGGCCTGGAGGAGGAAATGGAGAAAATGAAGGGGCAGAATGCATCGCTTGAACGAAAGGCGAGGAGTAAGGAGGTAGCATTGGAGCAGGTCAAGTTGGATTTCGGGAAGCGGATCAAGTCACGGGACGAGGAGCTGGAAACCGTGAAACGGCAAAGGGAAGCTCTAAAAGATAAGGTGGGTACGACTGGGTCCGCTGCAACACTCATTCACTGCACACCCGTATAAACTGGATGCTATTTTCCCTCTAGGAGATCAAATATAAAAGCCAGGTGGAAGCAATGTCGAGAGAGAACGAACGATTGCGGCAAGAACTGAAACGGTCGCAGCGTCAAGCACGTACCGACGGGCCTTTTGCTTCAACATCCAACTATCCTGCGTCCGACAAGCTCGTAGACCTCGACTCAGACGAAGATGATTACGACGGTGCGCCTTTGCCTACTCCTCCATTGAGCTCGGACCCGGCATGGGAGTCGGAGCCTCGAAGGACCGCACCCTCTGTCGTGCCACAGAAGCGGAAGGCCGATTTACCCATCGCATTGGATAGGAATGGTAAACCCAAGGGATGCGTGCAGCTCGGATCCCGACGCAGATGGTGATGGGTTTGGCGCAATGTTTAGATACTTGTGGATCATGTTAGGAATCATCCCTTAAGATATACCGCTGAGTTTTTTGCTGCCATTGCGAGCACTTTGCGACCGACCCTCGCGACGCCGAGCATGACAAGCCGAGACAGAAACTGCGAAGCCCTAGTTGAGTCACTGCAGGTTAGCTGAGGGATGCGAAATAGACATATTTAGCCCGCGCGGCTCTAAACCGGCATCCACCATGAGGGGAGGCTCCCGTTGAAGTGTTGCTACCGTTCGTTCTCTAGATCTTTACTTTTGATACAGCTGGTTCTACGCTTTTTCGTGTAAATACACGCGTTATTCGAACAACTACGAAGGACGAGCTGAATGTCGTCGCCAAACAATCACAGCCTGGCGACGCCCCTCTCTCCTCCCCGCCCCATGTCACGCCCGTCTTCGCGCTCTTCGGTGCGCTCTGGACGCGCGCACAGTCCTTCAGTGTCTATGGATGACCCAGGTGAGCGTCGTTATTTACTTGCAGGGACGGTTCGAACTCAGAACGCGCTCCTGCAGTCGCGGTACGCAACCAGGTGTCCGCGTTAAGGCACTCTATCCGACAGCAACAAGCACAGCTACAGAAGCTCGAGAACGAGATCCTACGTGGTCCACGTCCTCTACCGCCGGGATTCCTGAGCTCACCACCTCATTCGCCGGTCGAACTAGATCCTCCATCCCCCTACCCGCCGTCATCTTCTACCAACTGGCTGCACTCGCGGAAATCCAGCCATGAAGCCCTCTCCGAGCTTGCCGGACCCGACTCTAGCCTACCAATACCCAGACGCGATGCGCTTCAGTCTTTCAGAGGAGGGGACGGGATACCCGAGGGGAAACCAATGGAGTTCACTTCCGGCTCACCAAGCCAGTCACTCGGCGTGAAGAGGCAGTCCAGCCCGACGCGCTCGCTCAGTCGTATGTAATTGCCCTCCCTCCCACTGCCCGCTGTGTCCGAGCACGACTGAGAACTCGCCCGTAGGCATCCCCGTGTCGTCAGTCGGTGCGTCTGTTACGTGAAAAGCAATGCTACACGGTTTACATCATTCCCTAGGCAACGCGCGCGCTCTAGCCGACGAAGGGCACCCGTCCCGGTCCACGGCGCATTCGCCTTTGAACGGGGCACCTCCGCCTATCGACGCGGCTGCCGCCAACTCCTCCCTCAGCGCGTCGTCGTCTGCCTACCCGCAGCCCCCTCTTTCACCCGGCAAACGGTATTCATTAGCAGCGGGGGGAACGACGAAGGTGTTGGCGGATTTGCAGGCGGGTGTGACGAGCACGCGGAACGCGCTGGAGAACACGAAGCAGCAGCTGAGGCAGTCACAGCGGCAGGTTGCGCAGCTCACGAGGCAGACGGAGGATCTGAAGGAGGGGAGAGAGCGGCTGAGGCTGGAGATTGACGGGCTGAATGCCGTCGTGACGCGCAAGGAGAGGATGCTGCAGGAGGTGAGTTGTCATTTCTCTCGTATTTGACGTGAGACAGAGGACAGTCGCGTAGGCCATCGAACGCGCTCGCAAAGCTGAAACTGAGGCTGCCTCGCTAAAGTCTCAGTTGAAGACGGAGATGGCGACATCGAAAAAGTCCCTGCGGGAGATGGAGGCTACCGTTTCCGAATCTACCGCAGTCTCGCAGAGGAGCAATAGGGAATACGTCACTCTGCGGGACAGCATCAAGAGTATGGTCGAGGGCTGGAAGTCCGACATGGACAGCCTCCGTGAGGAGATGCGCAAGCGTGAAGAGCGGTGGCGGAAGGAGGCCGAGGACGTCGGCAAGAAGTACCGCGCCCTTCTGGAGGAAGTGCGTGCGGCCGAGAAGGCGAAGGAGAGTGTCAAGGATCTCCGGGCTGAGGACGAGCGGCTGCGCAAGGCGCTTGAGGACGACTTCCGGGAAGAGATCGCACGGCTAAAGGGGGAGGTCGAGAGGTCGTCGAAGGAGAGCGACGAGTCTTCTAGAATAGCCAAGTGGGTTTTCGTGTTTCACCCCTACCGGTCATATGAAGTTAATCACGCTGCTACAGAGAGCTGGCAGGCGAGCTAGCGCGCTTGCGCCGCCTCATGCAAAATTCTGGCGAGCAGGTATCTTCCTCGTAAGACCCACTGCAAGGCGGGAAGTATACCCATTTCATGACCCACATCGTAGCATCCGACATCGATATCTCTGCATAGCATTATTATATCTCGCATTGACTCTCCTTTTATCACTTATCCTCACGCATAGTCTAAGTGTATTTGGCGTGTCCACAGCAGGCTCTAATCCCACAGCAATTATCTATTTCATCCTGGCTGTAAACCGCGTTGTGCTCACCTGCGTTTTGAGGGTCGGAAACGTTCTGCATCCGTGCGGGGTAACCGGCAGAATCGTCACGAGCGATCGTGTGCCCGGTACCGGGCCCACCATAGCCGGAATAAGGCAGTTGAATTGTCATAGGACACCGCGATATAAGACGGGCACCTCCTCTTTCGCCAGTGTTACTCCTCCTCCGCCATGTCTGTCATAACGACCCCGATAACTGAGCTGTTCGGCATCAAGCATCCCATTCTCCTGGCAGGTAAGCAGGTTGGCGGCGGGAAGAAGGGTCATGGCGGGGCGCGTCACACCTTTATAGGGTCCAGGTTGCGGGCGCACGAGATGGGATCTATAGACCTTATTACCCCGCATTTTGCCCTGCTTTGAGCTGTGATACCCCCTATGTGATGCCCAGACCCGCTTTTCCTGATTACCACGACACGACTTGACGTTGGCTAAAGCTATGGTTCACCACCCTAGGGATGAACGTGGCTGCTGGCCCAGAGCTGGCAGCCGCCGTCACAAATGCCGGCGGTATGGGCGTCCTTGGTGGCATTGGTTACACTCCGAAGGTGCTCCGGGCACAGGTGAGGGGCTTATTATGCTTCCACACGCATCTTGTTGATCGAAACCCGATTTCCGGTCGTAGATCCATGAAATTAAGAAGCATCTGGTGGACCCGAAAGGTGCCTTCGGTGTCGACTTGCTCATTCCTCAGGTGGGCGGAAATGCACGGAAGACAAATGTGCGTCCTCCTGGAATTCCACAACGATGTCGCGACACCTAACTGACGCTCTCTTAGTATGACTACACCAAGGGCAAGCTACCAGAGTTGATTGATGTTATCATCGACGAAGGGGCGAGACTTTTCGTTTGTGCCGTTGGGGTTCCTCCAAAATGGGCGGTCGAGAAGTTGCACGCAGCTGGCATCCCTGTCATGAACGTGCGTTGATCTGTCGTATCACAATATGCCGCGGTGTCCTCATGCCATGCCCTCAGATGGTCGGACACCCGAAGCACGTCCAGAAGGCATTAGACGTCGGTGTGGACTTGATCTGTGCACAGGCAGGGGAAGGCGGTGGGCACACTGGCGACGTCCCAGCAACGGTCCTCATCCCCGCCTGCGTTGACATTGTCAAGGGGTATAAGTCGCCGCTGACAGGCAAACCTGTCTATGTCATTGGTGCCGGTGCTGTCTACGATGGTCGTGGGCTCGCAGCGAACTTAGCGTGGGGTGCCCAGGCTGTATGGGTTGGTACGCGGTTCGTTGCTTCGGTGGAGGCGGGTGCGCCGAAGGCACATAAGGAAACGGTGTTGAAGGCTGGATATGATGACGCTGTGACGACGCTTATCTATACTGGCCGCCCTCTGCGCGTTTACAGGACGCCCTACGTCGAGGACTGGTGAGGCTTCAATGTAAATTCTGCGGGGAAGGACGTGCTGACGACGTGAGACAGGAATAACAATCGGCAACAGGAGATCAAGGAGCTTACGTCGAAAGGTATCATCCCCCACGAACATGAAGTGGAGAAGCACCCAGAGATTTCTGCGCAAGCCCGTTCTTGGCTGATAGGCAAGTGCGCCGCGATGATTCATGAAGTCCTGCCTGCGAAGGTCATTGTCGAGCAAATGGTGAATGACGCTGCGACGATCCTGCAGGAGAATGCTGCCAAGGTCAATGTCAATGCTAAAGCTAAGCTGTAGTTGTATATAGCTATAATTATATAGGGACGCTTTCTTGTGTAATTTTTTGGTTCATTTTTTGCTATCACCAATCCCATTTGTATGACTATTATGAGTACACTACCGTGGCCATTATCTCAACATAATCCCCTACGTACTGGAACGTGCAGCGAGCGGCGTCATCGATTAACTATCGTGGGCGCTCTGAATCTCTCCCAGGCAATTCCATCGGTGCCGTGGCAGATTGTCAACGGTTTGCTCTTGGTTTGCTCTACCAACTCCCTGAATAAATAAATAATCATCCTATCAACATGAGAGTCGAAGCCAAAGTCGCTACTTCAGAAGTCTAGCCTGAAGACTGGTCAACATCATTAATATTCTGACGTTTTTGGACGTTTGTTCAAAATATGTATATACTAGTAGTCAACCTGAGAACATACGGGCATTACTCTCGAGCTCAAGTCCGACTTTCGAGGTAAGTATGATGATACAGTGACGAAATCAGCATCACATGAGATCAAGACATAGTTAGGACGAGAATGCAGGGTGCTTCCGCAGTTCGGGCGCGCGTGCTGGGGAGGTCATGACACCTCTGGAAAAGAGTTCTCGAAGGACGCTGCTTGAACGCACCATGCATGCACATACCTTGGAATAGACACCTTGGGAACAAACATGCCAACCGGACAACATCTATCGTACTAGTGAACGGCCGACGCCCATCACTTGATGTCGTGCAAAGGTTTAGGACCCGCGTTGCAATTGATCACAGGCTATAACTAAGTTCATTTGCGATAGATTGCGCATGATATTCCACCTTCTCTAGGCGACCTTTCGCCGCAAATGCACTGTCGTTTGACTATGAAAGGAATGGTTCTTTTCTCTGTACCGTGCAGTGATGACCGTAAATAAGTCTTCTCGATGGTTCGTCGCGTTAGCCGTCATCTCGGGCTCAGATATTCATGTCATATTCTCTCCCACCCGCAGCATGCACATGCATACCGTACCGGCGGATATTACCTCCTCTGCGGTGGATAAAGGGAGGGTGCGAAGTGAAACAATACCAGAGTTCGCCACTTCGACTCTACCTGAGCGTATCAGGCGGTATACAGCCTGACAAAAATGCTGGTCATCTGGTTTCTCTCCATCTGCTATGCATTCCTTGCGGTCGCACACCCTCTGCCCCACCCGCGGAGTTTAGAGAAGAGGGCCATCTCGGAAGGTACCGCACGACATTCTTTATGAACACGACAGGTTCTAACCACACGCACATCAGCCTTATACGACGACTTGTTTTTCTACTTCAAGTATGCGTCGTCTGCGTATGATTTGACCTGTGCCAACCCTAATGGCAACACTCTGGTTGAGGAGGTAGGCCTTTCTTGTGGCGACATATTACATGAATACTAGTCCTTGACACAACGCCTAGTTCTCTGACTCGACGACCGACACGCAAGGCTTTATAGCGAGAGACGATACTCGCAAAGAAGTTGTAGTGTCCCTACGTGGAAGGTGAGCCATTGATCTATCCTCCATGTCGGTGCTTTGCAGACTCCTCGACCAGTACCTCCGTGGAAGATTTTGTCACGGACGCCGAGATTATCCTCGAGACGTACACGTCCCCCGGCGTGTCCCCGCCTAGTGAGCTCGACATTCCGTTCAAATGAGCACCCGACAGAACACTGAAGCTGCATGTTACAGCTGGAACCACAGTGCATACTGGATTCCTCACCGCGTATGTTAAACCTGTGCAAACTATCCACTTTTCACTGAGTACGGTGTCCTGTATAGATGGAACTCTGTAGCGTCTGGCGTGATATCGGTTGTTAAAGGCCAGCTTGCAGCACACCCAGGCTATACTATCGTGACTACCGGACACTCACTGGGTGGTGCACTATCGTCTCTGGCCGCAGTGAGTATGAAGTCGAACTTCCCGAACAAGTGTGTCCCATCCGTCTACTCTTCTGCAGTAGTCTAAGCGGGCAATAGCGCCGTGAGGATGTACACCTATGGGCAGCCACGCACGGGCAATCCGGCTTACGCGTACTACGTCAATGACCTGTTCGGCTCGAACGCATATCGATGTGGGTAATATGCACCTTGTGTCTTCATCCTTATACTCATCTGTCTTTTCCAGTCGTCCACACTGATGATGGGTACGGATCTATAGTATGGTTCATAACAATGCGTAACGCTTCTTTCTAGCGTGCCAACAATGATACCGCAGGATGTAGGCTATAGGCATCATGGTACGGTCTAACCCGCCCCCCCTCCCCTGGCAGCTCCGGTTGTGCTGACTTGTTATCTGCTTTCAGGGATCGAATACTGGCAAAACCCAGAACCATCGTCAGCTGCTAACACCAAGGAGTGTGCGGCGGACGGGGAAGACCCGACCTGCTCGGATTCCATCCCTTCGACGGGCATCAACGCGGCGCACGTCTCGGTAAGTACCCTAATTGCGTCATGTGTCTCGCGTTCGCTGGACAATCCATTGCATCTACAGTATTTCGATGTGTTGGCTTCCACGCCCTATTGCACGTAATGATAGTCTCTCCGAGTTAGCTTCATTTGGGAAGAAAAGGGCGGTTCGTTAGTGTCGGCTCTCAGAATGCTCCTACTGTATGGCGATTCCTTTGCACTTCTAATTTCAGCACCATATACACTCAGGCGCGCACATAATGATAGCTCACTCACATATGCGGTTGTACATACTGATCTTCTGGCCTCCCTCTGGGCCACGTTGAACCACACCATGACCGCACATTTAGCAAGAGCACACGCACACTGATTTCCTCAGCAAAGCAACATGAACATACATAAATGCAGACATGTACGGTATACATATATATATATTTCAGGCAGACGAAGACTCAGTGGCATTATGCTTTTGGAACTAAAGTTCAACAGCCCATGTACAATACTACAGACCAAAGAAAGCACTGCTGATTTTTGCTTAGACGGCCAAGGACAACTCGAAATCGCCGCCGGGAATACAAGTCCAAGGGCGATAAACGAGTCGTTAAGTTCATGCCTCACTTGTACGGACCCTAGGCCTATAAAATTACTGATGCTTTTCCCGAACATTCTGTATACACTCTCGACATGCCTTACACGCCCAACATCTTCCCGGAGTTCCACGTCCGTCACCTCTACCGACCCAATGATGTCAACCTCTTCCCGCCCGTGAGCTTCCCTGCCCGGGACCAATTGTCCTCCGAGGGTGAACAGGAATGGACCGCTGAGAAGATCCTGGACGAATGCCGTCGCGGTCGAGGGTAGCAATACCTTGTTCGGTGGACGAACGTGATGACATGTGGCTCCCCAACCGCGAACTCGAGCATGTCACTGCTCTCGACGACTGGCTCAAAACTCATCCACACGACTGAAGACCCCCCCCCCTTGCAAATTTCTGAAGACAGGGAGGTAAGCCCACTCGGCTTACTCCGAAGACGCCACCGAACGCCACAAACATAACGCGCCACACAATTACCAAGTACGACTTTGACGCTTCCAAATTCGTTACCATTTCACTAGACTCGCGACCAGTCCTGTACGCAATGCACACACCTTCCTTTTTTGGTTTCGGAGTGATGGAAGGCGTGAGCTTGCCGCTGCTTGCGAACGCAGTGTGGAGTTGCAGCCTTCAAGCTTCAGGGCCGGGCAAAAGATTGTACGAAAGGGAATTCCCAGCCAATCAGAGCCCGCGAAATTTCCTTTCGTACAATCTTTTGTCCGGCCCTAACAACGACTCGCAGTGTGACAGCCATGTGCAGATCGATACTTCACCCGAGTGACACCAAAAGCGAGATTCCTTAGACTTGGGACTACGCCCCAAGACGCGAGACCAAGGGGTCTTGAAAACCTTATTTTGCCACCCCACCTGAACGCCCCCCCTGGGTACCCCACCTCGTCCCCCTTGACTTCAACGCTCGAGCATCGGTCTACACACAGTACACGTCACCGCCTACACTAGTATAATAAGGCCGTCCGCTACTCTGCTCGACACCCCGTCCTCGCTGTCTTCCCCGTCGACCACCATGCCCTTGCCGCTTCCGGCCGCGGTCCGGGTAGAAGTCTGGTAGCAAACCCCAACCCTAGGGTGTACCGCCACGGGTCAGGTGACAACGCCAGCGTCGGCGCCCGGCGTGTTGTCGCCGCCCGCTTTAGGCCTGTCGTCGTCGTCGCCGACGATGAGCATGGCTGTAGCATTTGTATGTAGTCGTAAAAATATGGAATAAATCTCATTAAATACACAAAATTCGTTTGATGGATTTGACATGTATGCGCCGCCACTTACATGCTCCGATCGAGCATCATCGCCGTCAGGAATGTCGCGCTCACTGTGCTCAACGGTGGCGGCCGATCGCACCGTATAAAGCCTCGGAAAAAATACGATAAATTCATAGCATATTGCTCCTATGCATTGCATC